CAATTTATTAGCAGAAACAAAGTTTTCTGTCAACAATTAAGGCTAAAAGAAATTACTTATTCTACTGTTCTGAATAATGCAGTGAATGACATTCTTAAATGTTACTAAGACATATAGTGGATGAAATTTGTAAGCACATCCCCATATTAAATGCAGTATTGAGTTGTATTAACATATGGCTGCCCTCAATTTGAAGGTGATGTCAAACACAAAGCTGTGGAAGAATAAATAACTATCCTTAGACCGACCTCGCTCCGACTTTGGTCGCATATCACTATGACATCCAGGACACATCCCAAAAGAATTTTCCAAAGTGTCCTCTATGCATATCATTTCTTTCAGCTATGATATGGACACAAGTTGAGGAACTGGTGCTTCAAGATTATACCCAATGACAAGAAAGAGCCTATAGCATTCATTATTCTATCAATCTAAATATAATATGCAACAGAACTATTTCTACTTCAGAGGATCAGAAGTATGTTCGGGGTGACATTGTAGGTAGATTTAGAATCCACAACAGACCATTTGCTGTCATCGGTTTTCATTTTATTGTTATTTGCTTCTAAAGAGCCGATTCTTATAGCTTATTTGGATAATTAAAATTTAGTTTTTGCCACTATGGTTTCTTCTGGTCAGGGTTCTTTGTTTGGTTTTGTTTTTCTTCCTCTTTGCCCTGAAATCTCTCAACAATGAGAAAAAAGGCAACAAAATTGGCAGGTGCCAAGAAAGCTTTCACAAGACATTCTATAGGAAGTGTCCCTCTCCCCCAAGAATAACTTTTTTTTTCCACTTAATCTATCTATGTATGTACAATTCTTATGTCAGTCAGAAGCCAACCAACAGGACAAAATGACAGTTGAGCTCAAGTAACACTTTAGCACTTACTGGTAAGTAAAACAAAAACTCCTCAGGAGGAGGATTGCCATTTCCTATGCATTTAAGAGTGATGTTGTCCCCTTCTTTGATGGCATTTTTTGGTGGCAGCACTTGTATTGTCACCTGCTCCGTAGGATCTGCAAGAGTCACAAACACAAGTTAACCATTTTCATCAAGTACCAAATTACTCTGTGCATACAATATAAATGACTAAATTATATGCAATTTTCTCAAGAAGCTAGTAATGGTAATTACTTAAATATATCTTTTTAGAGAAGGATTGAAGTTAATAGCCACTTACTATACCAAGTACTAATCTTAGTTAGAGCAAACTACAAGGAAACCCTGTTGCATAAAAATCGATTTCTTCTTGGAAAAATGTCTTTAACTGAGATAGGAATGACCATAATTATTTTATGTGTAAAAGACCAGTAGGAAAAAAAATCTCACTGTATGATTTTATTATAAGGAAATTTAAGCGTATTATATGAATTTTATAGTTTGTCAAGGCAAAAATCAGCTAGCAAAGT